AGGGGGTCCTCTCCGCTGAGAACCACGCCCCGCGACACCAGCGCACCACCCTGTGCAGGCCCCACGTGCTCGCTGCTCTGGGAACCACACCAGGGTCTCCGTGAACCCGGACGAGGCCCCGGAGCGTCCCCAGGGCAACCGAGTCACGACACAGAGTCGCATCGACTTCTGCCGGCCGCTGCCCGGCATCCGCCGCAAGTCGGGGACCCAGAGAATGTCACTCGTCTCGTAGCCGCCTAACGGTCACCGCCAGCTTACGTTGAGATGCTCCGAGTCTGTTCGCTTTGTGAAAATAGTGCCACGCCGTAGAGCTAGGAAATCAGTGAGTGTCTGTGTTGCACACACCGCAGTCCCGTCCGAGCGCCTTCCAGCAGGAGTCCGGCAGCGCCCGTTCCGCGAATACCCCCACGTGCTGTGACACCGTGCGGCGGGGAGAGCACAGTCAGCTCCGCGCGGCTGGCATGCCCCAGGACGGCACGCAGGCTGCTCCTGCTGTAAGCAATACCTTAGTGGTATGAGAATTCTATTCCTAGTCCTAAAATATTTCCACTTACAGCTTGTTTGGAAAAGAGAAATTTCCATTTTTGTAAAAATATATGTTTCCTGATTACCTCTTGCTAATAAATTTCTTCTATCTCAGGGTGAACAGTGAGTCTCGACGGGTTTCATTCGTGCACTCAAGGGGAATCTGAGGAGCGCTCGGTCCTCACTGGAGCCCGGGCAGGGACCGGAGGGACAGGGACACAAGCCCTGCCCTCGGGGACACGCGGTCTGCAGTCCAGTTATCCGCCGCCCTGGAACAATCGCGCCGAAACTTAATGGCTTGAAACAGTTTCTGTTACATTTCAGAGTCTGGGGGGCCGACGGGGTCCAGCTGGAGTCTCTCTCGTGAGGTCACGGTCACGGCAGCTGGGGCTGGGGGGGGGTCATCTGAAGGCTCGACTGGACGCGGGGTCCGGGACGGTGCTCTCCGTGGCGGGAAGGTGGTGCTGGCTGGGGGCCGAGCTGGGCTGTACCCCTGCGCCCGCCACCCACACCGGGCCTCTGCGTGTGGCTGGGTTCCTCCCGGTCCCAGAGCCACCTTCCAGGAGGCTGGGAAAAAGCTGAAGGGCTACTTGCGACCCAGCCTCAGAGCTCCCGCAGTGTTCTATTGATCCCACGCGTCCCCAAGGCCCGCTGGGTCACCAGGGGATCGAGCTGCGGGAGCAGAGGATTTGCAGCTTCTTAAGTCACTAGAGAGACAGGCCACTTGAGCCATCACAGGAGGGGACAGGAAGGGCCTCGGCCGGCCTCGGGGCTAGCAGAGGAGAGGACGTGGGGGAGGGTTCAGAGAAGCCCCGCAGAGATGGAGGGGGCGGCGAGCAGGGGCGACCCGCCAGGCAGGCAGGGAGGGAGCGCACCCCAGGCAGGGAGGTTATCGAAAGCCCAGAAGCGTGAGCCCGTGTCCTCGTCCGGGCAGCGGCTGGCATGAGGGGCAGCACAGAGGTGGAGCTGATGCGGAGGAAAGCAGAGGGTGGGAAGCCGGGAGAAAAGAATTCCCGGAGGGGAGGGCAGCTCCGGGTGGGGCCAGTTGAGGCCTAGGACCTGCCCTGTGGCTGGGACATGACCCCGCCCCCCCACCAGCGCCTCCAAGGGCGACAGGAAGGTGAGAGGGAGTGCACCCCGCCCCGGGTCCACCCCCGATGCCTCCTCACGGTCACTCGTGGAACCTGGGCTCAGAACGCTGCCCTCAGGTACAGGCATGGAGCCTGAGGTAAGGCGGGACCCACTTCCGGAACCTCCCAGGGCCATGGCCTCTGGGACCTGCTCTCCAGGTCCCCCAGACCCTTTTTATCCCACTAATACTGTGACCCAGGCAGGGGCACCTCTACAGGGACAGGGCCTGGTTTGGACAGCCAGCTTCACCACTCGCCTGCAGGGGGCCCAGCAAGTGACTGAACCACAGGGGTGGGGATACTTCATCACAGAATAGAATTAAATGAGCTAATACAGCTAAAGCGCTCGGCACGGAAGCAACGGCTGATGGTGGGGGCAGCACATGACGGGGTCCCAGAAAGATCTCTCGTGGTAAGCCATGGCAGCAGCTGTTACCGTCTGGTGTAAAGGCCGAGCTGGGGCTCCGCGGGCCCGGCCCACCAGCCCAAGGCCCCGAGGCCCAGGCGTGTGCTGAATGCTGTCCCCTCCTCTGAGGTCCTGGAGGGAAGGAGGAGACCACAACTGGGTGTCCGCGTCCTTCAGGATGGGGACCCCCGCGCCCTTTTCCCCACCGCGAGCAGACCCCGAGGCGGCAGGTGCACCAGACCGGAGCTCAACGTGTTTCTTCCTCTGTTCCCGACGGGAGGCAGCATTGCGGCTACTTTGCTCCCCAGGGGACGTCTGCGGGTCATCACGATTGGTCAGGGAGACAGGTGGACGTGGGACAGCAGCTAAGAGTGCACGGGCTGGCGCCAAATGTCCCGCTCTGAGCCAGGCGGCCCAGCGTCCGCTCCCCGCTTCGCCGCTCACCTGCTGTAGGGCCTTAGGCAACTTCTACGTCTGCCCTTTGGCTCAGTGTCCCCTTCTGTGAAACGGGGTCTACAACGACAGTGAAGGTTCCCGTGAAGATCGGCTGGGGGACTGGCGCACGGCGAGCACTAGACGACCGCCGGCTGTTGTTCCTTCATGACACATTTACAGGAGGCTCAGCGTCAGGCCACCCCGGCCACTGCGGACTCGGTTACGAGCCACGCCGTCAGGGTCCCTGTCCCCACAAAGCCGCCTTCTGCTGGACGGCGGGCGGCGGGCAATTTTTGCAAATACCGGGGGCAGGGTCGTGGTGTGCAGGCCACCTGAGGCTGGCACGTCTGAGCTGAAACCCAGAGAATGCAAAACCGTGATGTCACCATTACAGAAGCCACGAGGCCACCAGTCACCTGAACGCGGGCACATGTGCTGCAGATCGGGTGAGGTGCCAGGCAGCTCTCGGGCTTTTCCAGGACAGGAAAGGCGAGGCCAGAGAAACACACGCCACCCCCATGTCAAAGTTAAGAGGCTGCCGAAAGATGTCTGTCATTCAGGTGACATTCTAATGCTTTTAAAAACCCAAAATTGGGGGCACCTGGGTGGCTCAGTTAGCTAAGGGTCCAACTTTGGCTCAGGTCGTGATCTCACCGTCAGAGCCCCACGTCGGGCTCTGTGCTGACAGCTCGGAGCCTGGAGCCTGGAGCCTGCTTCGGGGTCTGTGTCTCCTTCTCTCTCTGCCCCTCCCCCACTCACGCTCTCTCTCTCTCTCTCTCTCTCTCTCTCTCAAAAGTAAATAAACTTAATTTATTTTATTTTATGTTTAATTAATATTTTGTATTTATAAAATAAAAAGTAAAAATTCAAAATTAACGGAAGCATGCATGGTGACCAAAACATGAGCATTCGCGGTACAGACAGGGTCAGTGATACTGACTTTTCCTTCGGCCTCGGGCTCGTGTGCGGCTGGGCGCGGCTTCTGGCTCCTTTTGTAGGTAGGTGACAGCGGAGCTGGCTCAAGAGGGCACACCGCTTTGCCTCGGGTGGGTTGCAGGTGGGCTCGAGGAGCTGTGGGGGCGGGTTGCCGGGGAGCCCGTGGGCCGTGGGCGGGGCCATGGGCGGGCTGTGGGCGGGGCTGTGGCGGAGCTGTAAGCGGTCTCCTGGGGCTGTGCGCCCCCAAGCCCATGAGCTTGTTAAGGTCAGTAGGCGCGAGGAAGGCTGCCCTGGTCCTTGAGGGTCCTGTGCTGTAAGTGGGTCTCACCAAGGCGAACAGAGCTGCCCGGGCGCCTGGCCGCCCCAGCAGCCACTCCCACCAGCCTGTGCTTCACGACCGTGGCCTCCTTCCCAACAGAGGCCGGTTGTTGCCCCAAGGTTATGGCGGTGTCACCCGGACCCACACGCCCTCCGGGTATTGATGGGGCTCCCGCCTGTGCAGGTAATGTGCATCCCACCCCGTCCCTGGCCTCCTGGAACTCCAGACCCAGCTGGGGACAGGAGACCCACCCAGCTAATGACCCCTGAGTTTCTAGCTACAGCCACCCCTCCTTCTAGGCTCCCGACCCTACGGCCAAACATCTAGAAGCCGTCTCCATGGGGGTGCCCCACGGCCACCTCGACTCCACTGGACCAGACCGATCTCCGCACCCCACCCGATTGTGACAGCCAGAAACCAGGGGTCACCCCTGACCCACCTGCAGGGGGGTGTGGGTCCGTGTCAACCTCCTGAGTCCGTTCCCAGGCAGGTGGCAGCTTCTCACCTGGGGCCAACCGTTCCCCGAGTACAGGTGCCCTCTGCATGCTTGCAAGCTGTTGAGGACTCCCCCAAAAACCCACATAAGTGTGTTAGATCAGCCACTATAATGGTACTTACTGATGAGTGTATTCAAAAGTAAAACTTCGGGGAAGTGTTCAAACAATTACGTCCATTCTTTTAAAAACAGCAGTAACATCAGCATCCTACTTCCGGCCACGCACCCAGGGAGCAGAGAGCAGATTCCCCAAGGGTTAGCTGTGCACCGATGTTCACAGCAGCATTCTTCACACAGCCAGAAGGAGCAGGCCACCCGAGTGCCCACTGATGGACGGACAGATAGACGTGTGCCGTCTGCACACACAATTCAGCCTTAAAGAGGAAGTGTAGGGGCGCCTGGCTGGATCCATCGGCGGACTGGGGGGACTTTGGTGCGTGGGGGGGGTGGTAGGGGCTTGAGGAGTGGGGAGGCTGGGGACGAGGTGGGGGTGGCGGGGACTGGGGGGGTTCGGTGCCTGGGGGCTGGGCCGGGGGTGGGAGCGGGGGAGCTGGTGTTCGGTGGGGACAGAGCCTCAGCATCACAAGATGAGGAGAGTCCACGGGACAGACAGCAGGGCCGGCTACAGACGGCGTGCGTGTACTTAAACCACTGAGCTCTCGAGAGTTAGGATGGCAAATTCTGCGTTTGTACATGTCTTACCACAGTTTATAAGACCTCATCAGACAGCAACAGACGTATTACGTGCGGACGTGTTAAAACAGAAACAAGCCCAGATCATCACCCCCGAGGCTTGACTGCCTTCCATCCTTTCACGAGAACTTCACCTTGGTTTTGACTTGAACAACAGAAAGGGACTGGCCCACACATTAACCCTGGAGCCCGAGCCCCAGGCAAGTCTGTTGGGTTCCAGGGACCAGGCCCTGGTGTCTTTTGGGGACCGTGACCCCGCCCCCTGCGACGTCTGTCTCCCTGGATCACTCAA